GATGTTATCCACATGTTTTTCTCAATGTTCAATGGTTGCTCAACACTGCTTGCTTGTTGATTCTTCTGATTGTTTCTAAAGCCTTATTAACCAGTTTACTGATATGCACTACACTGATGTATGTCTAAAAATGAAATTTCCGATGTATAGAAAAATGATTTGTACTACCACCTACTTATTAAGGATTAAGAAATGTGATGGATAACCCCAACAGTTTTGTATATATTAGTAGCTGAATTCATAAGTCGATTTAAGCTAACCCACCTTTGAAAACCTGAAAGCACTGAACGGCTGTTTCGTCCTAGTACAGGACTCCTTAGCAGTACGCATTCACGATTCTGCACATGGGGCTTGAATTCAGGACATCTAGTTTCACGCTCGAACCCTTAACGTCTAGACCACTTTGCTGGCATTCACCCTTATCTTCAGTACCATCCAGTGCTTCTACGTTGTCTAGTTTGAATCGATTCATGAGTTCAACTATTATAATTCTTTTTAAAAGTTGAGATGATTAATTAATTGAAGCTACACAACCTTTGAAAACTTAGAAGCATTAGACGGCCGTTTTGTCCTATTATGGTACTCCTCAGCAGTGCACTATTGTCTTCAGTGAGTTACTATCTCACAACAGACCCTGTTGAACTCCACTGGTTATGGTTTCTCACTAGAAGTTCAGGATATACCTCTTGAAGCCAGTCACTAGTGAGCATACATATATTTGTATAGTATATTTTAATAAATCTAATTGTTTTACTACTATTAACTGTTTTCTTTTCCTTTTCTTTTTCTTGATTATTGATGAATTTGTTAGGATTTTGAGAAGATATTTGCAATTTATCAAAATGCACACTTCTAATTCTCCATAATACACATACCATATTTAGGTGTTTTCTCAATTCATTATATTAATATTATTATGTTAACATTTGTAAACCTCAGGTAGGTTTAGGTTATTCTATATTTCTATTTGTACATTGGTATTACCAATACTAGATATAATGGCATATATATATATATATCATCATCAGATGTGGGCAGCTTTATCATTCTCTAATATTTCCCCATCATGATCACTATCATGTCCACATTCTTCTTTTGATTATATTCTTGTTGTTATTGTTTTGCTCTGCTCTCCTTCTCCCCCCTTTTTTTCCCTCCCTGTTTTTTGCTAATAAGATTTTTTGTTTTGATACAATGAATTAATAAATAGTTTTTGTGTAATGCTTCGTGTTTTTTTTTAATTGTCCTTCTCAATGTGTGAATACGCGTTTTATATGTTAATTAGTTATATTTATTTCTTATTTGTAACCATGTTAGGTATTATTATTATTATTATTATTATTATTATTATTATGACTTTTACTAGTGTTATTCTCTTGTTATAATGAATCTATTATTAAACTTATTAATAAATAAGAAGGGAAAGCTGGTTCCCCAAACATAGACACAACGACGACAACAACAACAACTACACACACACACAAACAAACAAACAAAGTAAGTTTTATATGAAAGTTTATTGCATTTTTTTTCATTCGTTTTTGTTTTGTCTCCTTGTGTAACACGAGTTACTGCACATTTCCTCTTTTTCTTTTTCTTCTTCTTCTTGTTCTTCCCTCTTTGAATCAATCCTCAATTCCAAGTGCACCTGTCTGTCTATCTATCGGTTTGTCTTTCTCTCTTACTCATTGTTACTATGCCTATAGTTTATTTAAAGGATATATTATTCATCTGAAAAATATGTACAATCTTATTCTTATTCTTTTATTATCAATTATTTTTTAGAATATTGCATAACACTATTACGTAATACCACTATTACTTAATAGTAATAATATTGAATTCTATATTGGGAATATATATATATATATATATATTATTTAAGTATAAGTGCCCCCTTCTCTCTGAGTTTGTTTTTGTCCTATCTATTTCTATCTATCTATATGTGTATATGTATATGTATTGTAGGTAATTTTCTCAATTATTGATTTATTGTGAACTTTGTTCTCTTTAAGCACTTTATATTAATTTATGAACCGAAAAGAAAAACAAGCCAGCAACTAATTATTAGTAATTTTATATTAATATAAAAATAGGTATTATTCAATTCTTTTCTTTTTTAGGTGAATTTTTCTTTCTTTTGTACTTTGACAATAATTAAATGTTGATTACGTAATCATTGTTGTTGTTGTTGTTGTTGTTGTTGCTGTTACCAGTGATAATAATAATAATCATTATTATTATTATGATGATGATTGTTACTACCATGAATTTGTTAATTGTTTCATCAAAAGAATGATAATGAATTTTTGTGAACATTTTTCTATGTTTTCTCTTTATTTATTTATTTGAACACATAAATATTGATACAGAGGAGCATCGAATACATATACTGTCCGGGTGCCTCAACCGAAATATGTGGCTTTCTTAGTGGGCCACACCTGAACCCTTTGAATTCAAAGTCTAATCCACAAGGTAGTGAAGCAATGTAAAGAGATGTAATTTCATAGTAGCCGATGATCAACAATTGGTTCATACACTATTTGTTCCTTCAGGATACTGGAGTCCATGTTCACCAATGCTGTGGAATTAGGGTTTTTTTTTACTCCTCAATGTCGACCGTCCGTATCCACTAACCCAGTTAAAACACCGAACATTCGATTTTAGTGCTCTCAATTTCGTAAACAATACCCAACCTGCGAAAACGAAGTGAGTGGGATTGGTTGTATACACGTGATTATGTAAGTGCATTTCGAGAGGGATGTCTGATTCACACGATTTTCGACTGTATCTGGGCACTTGTGGGCTGTTATTGACGAATCATGAATGAGACTGAATTACTTCATTTAATCACACGCAAATCCAGATCATAAAATGAATAACATTATTTACTACATTTAGTTGTGTAAGTTGATCATATAGTAGTAGAATTGTGTATTAGGATGATGTACCCGTTGGAAGTAAACTTCTTAATCTGTTTTGCAATATTTAAAGCAGTTGTAATCAATGAAAAGCAAGAGAGCATTTGGAGATGGAGTGTGGACTCTTCTCACCCTCGACCGTACCAGGACATTTGGGGCTTCTATCTTTGTATTTCACAAAATTGGTATCTTTTTTATATTTGGAGAGATACTCATTTATTAGAGATAGCCAGTTCTTTTGATCTACTGGTATAGATTGTGCACATTATCTTCAAAATAATCGAATTGTTTAGATCAATATCATTAGTAGAGTATTACTGTCGAAGCTTGGAGTTTTACTTGTCACCACAAATGTTCTACATTTGAGATTTTGATCAAATGGATAGAACTTTGTAGTATGGGATAAATTGTCTGATAATAAATCGACTGGACAATCCTGACTTTAATGTTGTTGCTGTTGGAAATCCTCTTCAGGACGCATACATTTTTATCACCGAAATCAATATCTATGTGAAACGTATTCATTGGCTCTGAGTTTATTGATGATTATGGATTTGTAAGCTTTATAATGGTGTCAAATATCTAGATGAATACCTATTCTTGATCAATATTTTTCCAAAAAGGTTTAATTCTTTGCCTGTATGACATCAGGACTGTAAATTTATTGAATTCATTTGTCAAGAGAGGTTTCAGTAAATTCGATTTTCTGCCAATAAGGATCCACGTGCAAAAGTTTTAGATTGATTAAATAGAACCAATTATTTACGTTTCATATGGCTTATTCATTAAGATACCCATTTATTATATAACACTATAAGTCTCTATCAATCAAAACTTCATCTCAACTTACGACCAAGAATGTAAATTACAACAGTTTACGGATTAGAAAAAAGATGACTGATGTTTTAACATTCTAATTCATTAGGATATCATATCGAGTCAAGTATGTAAATGGTGTTGTGTGATTCGATCACCAATTCCAATGCTGATAAACAAAATTTTCTAATTGTTTGTCCCCAAGCTAGCTACAATAGTAAGGAAACCATGGTCGTGCGCTTATCAGATTATTGATATTTGATTGACTCACCGCATCAAGTGAATGCTGTTATCTAATCAATTAGAAAGATTTAAATCATTTAAGAAGTATCAGGAGGGGATTTTAACGACAATATAATTAATTTTAATAGTTGAGATCATGATTCAATAAAAGCTAAATTGTGGATGCGCATTGCTGAGGAGTCCTATAATATGACGAAACAACCTTCAAGTGCTTCTAGGTTTTCCATAGTGGTCTAGATTCAATTGACTCATAATCTAAAATATTCAAAATTTAAGAAGTAGATCCAATCTCTCTCTGATGATATCATGGAAAATGACATCGCAATACTATCCTTTCTTGACAAACGTTATACTTGGAAATGATGCAAAACTATCATTTGATCTCTATTAACTAGCATCACAATATATATGTGGTTTGATAAGCATGATGATTTCATCAAATTGTCACGTGAAAAGTGATAATAATCCTACTCCACTTTGTTAATTAATTCAGTTGTTAGGAAACATACTAATTAATGATGGCAATTCAATTCATGAAGTAGTGAAACTTCATCAGTTGAAACGGCTGGGACACGTGTTATGCATGCACAACCACCAACTGCTCAGACGAGCGATGTTTTATGGTGTAGGTGTATGTTAGAAGAAAGTTAGGGGCGACCAGATCGAAACACGGCACATGTCCATGAGGTCATTGACAAGTGGACTGAGCCATGTTGGTAGGTGTGAACTACTTGTTTGAGATCCACCAGACGATAGTAACCGATGGTTAGAGACCTTGAATGACATTACTGAGAAACGTTGGCCATGATGTAGGTGCATCCACTCTTTGTGTTCTCCCAAATCCTATTCTTCCGAATTATTCATGTCCGTTTCTTTTTTATCTTTCCAGAATTATTTCAGTGGATTATACTCATTGAATGACATTTTTAAACCCTAATTTTTCCGATTACTGTTTATGCTCTTACAACCTCTACCACTATGGTTACAGACCCTGAATGACATGGCTGAAAATCGTTTGCAATGGCGCAGGTGCATCCACTCTTTGTGTTCTCCCAAATTCTAATCTTCTGAATTCTTCATGTCCTTTATTTATTCTCTTTCCAAATTTATTTCACTGGATTATACTCTTTAAATAACATCTTCAAACCCTAATCTTCCCTATTACTGCTTATACTCTTGCAACCTCTACCACTACGGGATTTGAATCGACAACTGCATCTCTGTGCTAATGTGGTGTGGCAACTCGAGCTGATATACGTACGTACGAATTCCTACGTTGTTACTGACTGACTGACTATGGGATTTGAATCGACAGTTGTGTCTCTGTTCTAATGTGGTATGAAAACTTCAACTGATGTACATACGTACGAGGTTCTACGTTGTTGTTGACTGACCGACTGACTGAAATGATATATTGATTGAAGTGTTCAGTTATCATCAGTAGCTATTGGTTACCAAGGCTTATCTATCGGTTTTCATCTCTACTTGATGATAGCATTAAAAAAATCCAATTCGACAGGTTTTTAAAAAATTCTTTCATTGGTGTACATGTCCATCTGTCTAACTGGACTATCGGACGAATAGTGTATAATATCAAGCTCTGTACACAAATCATGATTATTGGTAGTCCATGGAAGGGTACAAGTAAAAAGATCACAGACACACAATGCGAGAGAAAATAATAATCACTTCAAGTCAATGTGCTGCTCAACTAACAGTTTCAGTAATACGATTAAATATTAGTAAGTAAAATTTTGATTATTTCAATTACAATATTGGCAGTAGTCATTGACATGAACGAGAGACAGAGAGAGAGAGAGAGAGGAATAGTGTAGTTTTCCCCTTTTCACCTTATCACATGTTTCCAAATGTTTGAATAGTCAATGATTGTTGACCAGAGACAATGACGCATAAATCAGTATGAACAGTCTAGAATCAATTCTGAGTAGCTTACATTACGTTACGAAACATTAGAAATACCTTTTTTTTTCTACTCAGATGGATATAACGAAATATTTATTTGACAATAACGAGTTAAGCCTTGGAGTTTGATTCCTGTAATTAACTTTTTTCACGTAAATTTCTCGAATATAATCCAACTACTAATATGACTGTAGATAGTGTAGTGGTGAACGGGAACGCCATGGGTGACAATCAATAGTATTTGAATACTAAATTAGAGAACCATACAGTAAATACCTAATTTGCAAAATGTCAATCAATCGTCTCCGACTTCACTGTTCTTTCGTTTCCACACCAGTCTCTCCTCGTACTCTTCTATTAAAACCTTTTAAACTTCTGTCTCTAGGCATATCACTTTTGATTGGTGATACTTACTACTCTTATCTGTCGACATCAGTGGCATAAATCACACTCACTCCCACTCGTTTTGTCGTTGAATTCAGCATATTCAGTGATAAATCACATTTATGATGAAACTTTCATATGGTAATTTATTGTTTATTCTAGGAAACCACATTGGAAGCAATGCCTGCTATGGTTGAAAAACATGAATGGAAGATCATTGAAGGAATCAATGTGATGGATATTATGCAACATGATAATCGTATGACGGTTGTATCCACATATACCAAAACGGTAGATTATGCTTTATCATTATGTAATCATTCACAATGATAGGTGCTTATACTTGTTACAGTACAAATATCAGTATCATTTGTCATCATAATGCTCTCATCATTACTGTAAGTTACTCAACCAATAATAATGATCATAATTTTCTTTATGTAGTAAGATGATTGTTCAAGAATCCGGACAATGGATAGCGTTCACTATTGCTGGTTTAATAATGTATGTTATGTCATTTTTATTCTAGAAATTACTCATAATCTTTTTTGAATAATTCACTTGAATATAAGATGGTGATTTAACATTTTGATTAATTACAGGGTTGCCTACTTACTAACTCCTGTTACTCCCGATTGAGTAAAGGCTGTCGATCAGCATTCTCCAATCCACTCTGTTCTGTGCCTTCCTTTCTAGTTGTTGTTCATTCTTCTCATATTCATCTCCATTTCTTGGCGTAATATGTACATTGATCTTCCTCTTCTCCTTAGAATTGAGGTTTGCAAGTGAAGACATGCCTTGTGATGCATTTGGGTGCTTTCCCCAGTATGTGTCTTATCCACTTCCAGCACTTCTTCCTGATTTCTTCCTCCATTGGAATTTGGTTTGTTTTCTCCCACAGTAGGTTGTTGCTGATAGTGTTTGACCGATATTCAATCCTCAATATGGATTCGTTACAATTCATCAATGGTAATTATTATTTTAGGCAGAATGATTAAGATGTATTTATGTCAAGGATGAACTGGATGGTTTCAAATAAATTGAACATTGGCTAGAAAGTGTAATATTGTTGTTATTACTATCCCAAACAATGAGTGGAAAAATCGTAATTCTGATGTTTCGTCACCTAATATTAGCCACGTCTCCACAGTAACCAAATAAGTTTGATGGAATCAACCCGAGTTGAAATAGTACAAAGTATCCAGTGCAGAATATTTATAGCACAATTGAAATCACAATAGATGTGAACATGCAATTTTCTAGTGGTACTGACAACAATAAGCCAATCAATAAGGAGACATAAAAATTGCTGGTTTGGTTGTTAAAAGAAACATCGGCCTTGTGACTTACTATCGATCTCGGCTTTCATCATGAGGCATCATCATTCTTGTTTGAAATCGAAGGTTTATTCTGTTTAGCGTTTTCTTTTAGCAAAGTTGTTTTCTATAGGATAGGGTTGACGATTCTACGCTCAACCTTCTTCTTCTCCTGGAATTCAGATCAGCAAGAGTCCTAGAACAGCTACGGTAGGAGTTATTCATGTTATGCTCAACAGATATTTCTGTTTTATTTTGTAGTTTAATTGCATCTGTGATAGCCCTTTTGATTGCTTTCGTGAAGAAGATAAATGAGAAATATCCACTGAATGTCGCACTTGTAATTATTTATGTAAGAATTTCTGATAATCTTTTCACATTCACTTTGTTAGTCTGTTTAATATAATTCAATATAATAAAGGGTGTGTAAATGAGAGTAAGAGTACAGCTTGAAGATAATAATCCGATGTGACTGGTTGTGATGACAACGAAGAGGCTTGCGACAGCGAAATCCTGACTGATCTACAAGTTGATTTAAATCTTCGATTTGTTGCGATAGATATGCCATACATTTCAGCACTTTCTCTCGAACTTCTCTCACATGGCCACACATATAGAGCCTATGCTATTGAAACCCTACTCACTGCCTTCTCGAGGCGCGGGTGTTGTCTACAAAATTGAGAAGATGAAAGCGAATGCTCTTTGCTCTCACATAATTGGCAGGTATTGAAGATCCACCTAGGTGAGTTCGAAGTCCCTGATTTCAAACCGATGTTACACATGGGCTTCAGGATCTAGAGGCAACAAATGGCGCATGAACCAATCTTTGGGCATCGGCTTGCGTGGGGCTGCATCTCCTAATGATGCTCCACTGAGTTGTGCATCCAACCTTTAGGTTGAAGGCTCTGAATGTGTTTCGACAAGAAAACCACCTTTTTCAGTCTCGGCAGCCTGGCAGTATCACAACCTTCACACAAATCAAGTGAAATGTTTGGCGCATATGTATTCGGTGCCCCTTTGTCTCCATATTTATTTGTTCAAATAAATATATAATAAGTGAACTAATTGTGTCAAATTTAAAATAGTCATTTTCGCAAAATGAATTCATACCTTCAGCTAACATTATTATCAGCATTCATATACAATACTAGCACATATGAATGAACATGTATTCTATTAGAACTATTATATTATTTTTCATTTTCAGTCTATCTGCATGGCAACATCATTCGGAGTTTGGAATGCACAGTTAGATGCTATTGTCAAACTTGCAGTCTTTGTAATCAGTTTGGTATTATTCACATGTGGATTACTGATTGGTGCAGCGATTAAAACAGATTTGGCGGATCACATAACTAGTATTGGATTATCCCTTATGGTTATATCTGTTGTCACTTTGATAGTCGCGGTTGTGCTAAGTATTTGGTATAATTTAAAGGTATTATAGCAAACTAAATCATTAGATTTCTAAATGACGTTAACCTGATTGAATCTAGTTTACTTTCTCAACAATTAGGAATGTTTACCATCATATTATATGATAGTTCCAAACCCTAAACTGTTCACTGTCATCTATTTAGTAAGTAACCAACATCTGTAAACATTTGAATTCTGAGTGAAATAGATCAAAAGTCCAAAGTATCATGATAGCTGAACTTGTAAATTGAGATGATATTCAGGGTATTCGGTTGTTATGCTTGTTATCATGTAGTACTGTAGTCTTATGCTTGAGATGGGACACCTGTCATCCGATTTGGAAAGTCAACCAGATTATCAGAAGGAGGAATTCATATGGATAAAACAAAGTTGTGATAAACATTGAGATGGTATAAGAGTGAGGGGTTGTTTAGCAAGAGAATAAAGATCAAATCCATAAATGATTCTGTCCACATAAAGGTGAGTTGCAGTGTTTCATAGTTGGATATCTGCTACAGAACATGCATCTTTCTAACATGTCAGGTAGTCAACTTTGAACGATTGAGTATCTTCACTTTCGTATCACAAGTAGATATTACGTTCATCTTGAAGAATGTTCTATGATCATCTCTCTGGTATAACATTGAACGTAAAGGGCCTACGTGAACACATAGTTTACATATTAGAATGAATAAATAAGCATTTGATGAAATGTATCAGAACCAGAGAGTACCACAACAGCTTTCCCTTAAGTAATTTACGTTACATGTTTATACGAAATACACTAATTAGAGGAATATGCACTTCATAGCACCCACATTAGTATGGGTGGTGTAAACGTTTCTGTCACTTTGATAAAAGCACAACATCCATCCTATTTATCAGTAATCCATATACATTGTTTTCAATTCAAAATTTAAGACAGATCAATTATTCAAGCTGGTGTAGAGCGAACCCTGGCATAAATATATGCAGATATGTCCTACTCTACACACGGTAACATAAAGAGAGGTGAATCGGATTTACCTAATCCAACATGAGATAAACGTGATTAAATTGTCTTCTCTTCCAGATGTACACACTGACTCAGTCCTATATAGTCATGTTTGTGTATTGTTCAATGTAAATGTAATGTTGAATTGTTCAAATGAATTCACTGAATCATCTTCTTGTTTTCAGTATTATACGATCGGTGTTCTCATAGGTACACAAATATTAATGTTCATCGTGAGTTAAATTGATGTACATTTTTTGTTGATAGAATGATGGCTTTGAAGTAGAAGTGAACTGTTTGTCTCAAATGAATTCTACATTGCCTTATTGAGGTCTCCACTGAAAATGACTTAAACATGATATGGTTCAATGTGAACAGACATCGATATTCTGAGTGATATGTGATTCTGATGAGAGACTGAGATAACAAATGAAGTCGAACACGTGTCGGACAGAGATAGGTATCTAGTTCAGACAATGGATGATGTGTTGCGTAACCATTCATTGATCGATAGAAGTTAAGCATTCACACCGTTACATACCGGGTCCGTGTAATACAGATCAAGCGTTCGCGAGCAAGCCCTGACATCCTGGGTTCAAATGGCTCATGCAGGATCGCGGATATGCACTGCTGAGGAGTTCCGTAATAGGACGAAACCGTTTTCCAATGCTTCCAGGATTTCCAATGGTGGTCTAACATCAATCGTTTCATGATCTCGATTGAAATGTATAGCGTAAATACATCACATTTTGCCGATCAACTCCGTATTCTCAATACTCTATCGGGAATTATAAATAAGGGACCAATCGCTTTAAATTTCAACATGGTTCAACAGTCGTACTTACCTACATCACAGAGTTCGGTTCATACTGAGACTCGAACACTGAGCGATGGGATGCACAAGCAAATGGCTTTATGGACTCAGTGGCTAAGTAGATAACGTGATGGCGTTTTAAGCGAACGGTACTGGGTTCGAGGCCCAGAGTTTACATCAAATCTGAGATTCAAGTACATCCATTTGATGAGTGCTAACTATGACGAAACGCGTGTTCAAGATTCCACTACTAACCACTATTCATCTTCGCTTGTAATACTTGTGAAGTCAGGCAATATCGAGGCAACTCTCACATAATGCATATATTTCACTAAAGAGAGAGACTGATCAATTACAGTCGTAAACATCAATAATAAGATTCAAGTAAACAATATTAAATGAATTTCACCCCTAATTTCAGTTGAAAAACTCCACTTATGTCGTTTTCGGTAATATTTCTTACTTAAGAAATTACACAAGAAATATCATCAATTATTCTAATCTGGTTATCGAATTACGCATATGAAATCAAAGCTTATGAATGTATTAAACAGTTCAATTGACGAATCGATCTAAACTAGATCACTATTGAAAACATCGAAGCATTGAATGGATGTTTCGCCCTAGCATGAGGTTCTTCAACAGTGCTCATCTACGATCCCAAACACAGGACTCCAACCTAGGACCTACGATCCCACACGCGAATACTTCACTACTAGATAACTGAGGCTGCATGATCATGATTGTGTACTATGAAGAGTTCCATATTATGGCAGAATGACCTCTAGTGTTTCTAGGATTTCAATTGTGCATCTAATTTAGATCGACTCGTCAAGTCAACCATTCACATTACTACAATCTTCATACTGGCCAATGTGTTATCTCTTTTCTACAGGTAACAATATTTCTAAGTTATTTAACTGTTGGCAAATCAAGATATCTTCTCTTATATCCAAATTATGCATTGGCATCTATATTTTTATATACCGTATTCTTTTTAACTTCATCAATCAATACGGATATCATTAATGTCAACAAGACCAATAGTTCTATATTCCAGTTCCATATAACAGAACATTGAAGTTGAATACTGGATCGATGAGAACCTTCTTGATTTTTTGTTGTTGATTTAATATGGGATCAATTAAAACCGTGTGTCTGTGTGTGTGTGTGTGCAAACTGATTTCATGTGTTTATTTTTGTTCTAATTGATTACAATGTAACGTATATAAAGTGATTTCAATCATTGTTATCCATCTTTAGTGTTGATTATTTTTCTCAATTAAGGATCATTTTGATTAGAGTAGTTATCATACATGAGATGATTTCCCTCTATTACGTAATCAAGAAGTGGACTAACGTGTGACATGACAGTTCTTTGTATTGTTTGCAAAATATGTCCAATTGTGGAGTAGCACTGCAGTATTCACTGAATTCTGTCATCTGATAGAGACGAACTCATCGTACCAAGTGAATTACACATATCATTATAAAGTGAATTCATCTAATCGATAGTTTGTAAAGATGACGGAAATAATCGGTAGTGAGGCGAAGTAAATATGTTAGTTGTAGTTAGACATTAACACTATTGGATGCCGGATTAGTGTCCTAGAGATTAAGCGTTCACTCGCCAAAACGATAGGTCCTGTGACTGAATCACATGTGTTAGTATCGTGGGTGGACCCTTTTGAGGCGTACCACACTTGAACAAAACAGTCGTTCAATGCATCCAGGTATTTCATACTGGTCTATCTTCAACCTATTCATGAATTCAACTAATAAATAGATATGATTTGATGATTAATGACCGAAAATGTCTAACAAACATTCAAAGTAACTCCGATACTTTTATGTCCACGTGAATTCAGTATAAGCTGTATCTCATTCAGAATCAAGTGATCTACTCTTCTTCGATGTTTCAAGTAAATCAATCTAGTTAGATACTAGAGCGTGTTGAATAACAATGAGACAAATAACACGATTGAATAATCACCACACAGTAGTATGCTACTATTTTATTCACAATTCTTATCGTTATATAGGAACATGAAATAGCCATGCCCTCGATGAATAGCGGACGAACGAAAAGTTGACGAATGTGTATGTATTAAACTGCATTCTCAGGATGTTGGGGATGTTAAATCCCTAGAAACCATTCAGTAAATACTTTATTTATTTAATTTAATAGTTTATTCAAGTAAATAAGCAAATAATAATCATTGCAAGGAGATCAGCATGAAGGTTTCCATGGTGGTCCAGCTTCGATTGACTCATAATGTCTAATATTCAAAATTTAAGAAGTAGGTCTTATCTCTCTCGGATGATATCATGGAAAATGATATCGCAATACTATCCTTTCTTGACAAACCTCACACTTGGAAGTGATACAAAACTGTCATTTGATCTCTATTAACTAGCATCACAATATATATGTGGTTTGATAAGCATGATGATTTCATCAAATTGTCACGTGAAAAGTGATAACAATCCTACTCCACTTCGTTTGAAATTCACAGAACACAGATCTATATATCAGAGCACTGAAATCAGTCAGAGTAATTGTTAGATGTGCTGAGTTTGGGAAAGTTCTTCAAATTCAATTGTATAGTTGGATGTAGGTACCGATTGTTTAGCAACAAATGAGTATAGAGTTTTGCCTAAATCATAGAATTTTCAAAGTTTTAATCTTGAACTGATTTTAGACCACTGTCGAAAGTCAAGAAGCACTAGACAGTTATGAATTGCAATATGAGGACCTCCGGTTGTTTAGATCTACAACGATGACATGGGGAATCGTTTAGTGTATTTTACCATGAATCGAATTCGGTATGCTGCTTAGATATTTCGATAGGATGTTTGTAGAGATACTATATTTGATTCAATGTTGCATCACTAAATGATTTTAGTGAGAATCAGAAGTGTGATGGGATACCACAAATGTAAATATTGGTCAAACATTTTCTTTCAAAGTTGACGAGATCAGAATGATTTTCATCATATCAGTCAACCATTGGATTGGAATTCGCGATTGTTTTTTCTTTAGCACATCTGTATTCAAATGAATGGAGAATATCTTTTTGAAGTAGACTGGTTATCATTCTCTGTGTGTCTATTTAGTTATTTCTAGTTGCCGATAACTACGATTTGGGTGGTGAACATAATATACACTGTGTTGTGTGCTACTTATATCAACATAAGTAGTATATAACACAAGTGAGGAATAGAATGTCTGGGAGCAGAAAGTTGAGAAGATCAAGGAGTTAAGAGAGGAACAAAAATCAGGAACAATGAAGTCTGAGACAATTGATTGACATTTTGCAAATGTAGTGTTTACTGTATGGTTGTCAGATTTGACCAAGACGTTCTGTAATTGTGTATTCAAACACTTGTGTTCTCGTTCAGTAAACTATTTCTTGTGTAGTCTAGTGAATATGTAGATGAATAGAGTAACAGACATCTCAGGCTTGTGAAATGGAGTGGACAATTTTCCTATCTAGTCACAAAACTATTCAAATAAAAATTAAGAAACACTGATGTTTGCTCTTTCTGTATCATTCTGATTATAATTTATTGTTACCTTATAAATGAACCTTGATCAGATATATGAGTATGAATCAATTGAAGCAATTCAAACCTGATCAAACTTCAATAGATAATATGAATAAACAAAATATTCATTCTAAATCTATCTAATGATTTAGGGTATTTTAGATCCAACTTAGAAATTGAAATCAGTTCGTTTAACGTCGTCGTTACAGGTAAGCTACAGTCATCAGTATCATTAATGTATGAATTGTTTGTCCTTAGTGTTTTATTCCACTAATTCCAATGCTATACATATTCAAATATGAAGTTTCTTTCCAAATCATAGTTGATTATCAATTGTTTTACAGTAAAGACATACTCACCAATATATAACTAGTCTAAGCAAACAACATTGAGATTCACGTAAACTTCAATTGAAGGGAATCTACTTCTAAATGATATATAAGCTTGGATAAATCTTGTGAAGAGTTGACTAGAGAAAATTCATGTAGTTTTCAACTTTGACATGGTTGTATAGACCAGATATTCACATTACGTTAGGTCTCAGAACACAGACACATTCAGACGTCACACAATGGTAGTGTCTCGTGACTTCAAGGTGGCATTTGACTCTGTTGATCGTGAGGTTCTGCTAGGTTTGAAGCGGTTACGTGTTCACTTAGACTGCGAACATAACAAAAACTCGGTGATCAAAGACAAATAAGCTAGGTATTCAATGCGTATCAGTGCCACTAACCAGAGGAAGATGTCCAAGCTTGTAATGGGGAAGTATATTCCGCAAACAACCAGAAACGAGCGATAACGACAAACACAAATCAAAACGTATATATACATCAGAAAACCGTCCTTGGGGAGAGTTACAAAATAGTATGCTAAAAGACATAACGCATCGATAGCATTCAAGATTCCCCCAAGTGGAAAATACAACATGCAGTTGACGAGAGCGCTTTTGGCGCGAAGACAAAGAAATTCAAATTTTCTAAATAGAATTACACAATAGGTCTTTTTCCAAGTAAGTTCTGGGGATCTAACCTCCCCAACAGGTTTTATAGCAATGTTTGTTCTTGAAAGGATTACCAATGAAATAAATTAATCATATACATGTTTTCACTTGAACACAACTGGTCGAGTGAGAGCGTATGGCGAACTATCATCAGCATTGATTACTTCAAGTGGTGTTCATCAGGACTGTCCACTCTCTCCATTCTTGTTTAACTTTGCCGTTGACGTGCGATCCTCCCCGTCGAAAGGCAGAATGTTGCTTCATGATTGGGTTGCATTGGCACGTGAACTAATGCTAGGGAGTGAAATAGTTGAGCGTGTTGACCGCTCAACTTATCATGGGAGTTTCATCAGCCGTAGTGGTCGGGTGTGTGACGACATCTCGGCACGGATACAGGAGGCTCGACTAGCTTTTACTAACTTGCGTCATTTAAGGCGTAAGCGTGATATCGATCTACCAAACAAAAGAAGGCTTTACTGCACAGCAGTTTGTTCCGTTCTACTTTATGGCTGTGAAACATGGCCGGTAAGAGTAGAGGATATTCGTAAGTTACTAGTGTTGGATCCTAGTTGTCTTCGATGCATTGGTCGTATATGCTGGGACAACCGAGTAAATAATGCAGCTGTTAGGAAACAGGTACTAATTATTGATGGCAATTCAATTGATGACGTTGTGAAACTTCATCAGTGGAGACGGCTGGGACACGTGTTATGCATGCACAACCACCAACTGCTCCGATGAGCGATGTTTTATGGTGTAGATGTATGTTAGAAGAAAGGTAGGTGCGGCCAAATCGAAACATGGAACAAGTTCATGAGGTCATTGACAAGTGGACTGAGCCATGTTGGTAGGTGTGAACTACTTGGTTGAGATCCGCCAGACGATAGTAACCGATGGTTAGAGCCCTTGAATGACTTTACTGAGAAACGTTGGCCATGATGTAGGTGCATCCACTCTTTGTGTTCTCCCAAATCCTATTCTTCCGAATTCTTCATGTCCGTTTCTTTTTTATCTTTCCAGATTTATTTGAGTGGATTATACTCATTGAATAACATCTTCAAACCCTATTGTTTCCGACTACTGTTTATGCACTTACAACCTTTACCAGTATGGGATTTCAATCGACAATTGCATCTCTGTTCTAATGTGGCATGACAACTTCAACTGATATACATACGTACAAAGTTCTACGATGTTGTTGACTGACCGATGGACTGAAATGATGTATTGATTGAAGTGTTCAGTGATCATCAGTAGCGATTGGTTACCAACGCTTTTCTATCGGTTTTCATCTCTACACGATGATTGAATATCAAAAAAGACTAATTTGACAGGTTTTCAACAAGTCTGTCATTGGTGTACATGTCTATCTGTCTAACTGCACTATCGGACGAATAGTGTATAATATCAAGCTCAGTACACAAATCATGATTATTGGTAGTCTTTGGAAGGATACAAGAAAAACGAACACACACAGTGAGAAAATAATAATCACTTCGAGTGAATGTTCTGCTCAACTTACAGTTTCAGTA